CATATCTACTAAAAACACAAAAATCAGCCAGATGTGGTGATGCATGCCTGTAATACCAGCTACTCCGGAGGCTGAGGCAGGAGAATCTCTTGAACCTGGGAGGTGGAGGTTGCAGTGAGCCAAGATTGTGCCACTGCACTCCAGAAAGGGGAAAAAAGTGAGACCCTGGTACATTATAAAAAAAAAAAAAAAAAAGAAAGAAAAGAAAGAAAGAACGAAAGAAAAGAACCTTTTACAACTCAATAATACAAAGACAACTAACGCAATTAAAATATGGGCACCATCCTGGCCAACATGGTGAAACCTCGTCTCTACTAAAAAATACAAAAATTAGTTGGGCATGGTGGCGCAAACCTGTAGTCCCAGCTACTCAGGAGGCTGAGGCAGGAGAATCGCTTGAACCCAGGAGGCAGCAGTTGCAGTGAGCCAAGATCTTGCCACTGCACTCCAGCCTGGTGCCTGGTGACAGAATGAGATTCTGTCTCAAAAAAAAAAATAAATAAGGCCGGGCATGGTGGCTTACACCTGTAATCCAAGCACTTTGGAGGCCAAGGCGGGCAGATCAACTGAGGTCAGGAGTTCAAGACCAGCCTGACCAACATGGTGAAACCTCGTCTTTATATAAAAAGATAAATAAATAAATAAATAAATATGGGCAAAGGATCTGAATAGGCCTTTCTCCAAAAGAGATATATAAATGGACAGTAACTACATGAAAAGATGCTCAGCGTTATCAGCCATCAGGGAACTGCAAATGAAAAGCAGGATGAGACACCATTTCACACTCACGAGGACAGCTGTAAGCAAAGACAGAGATCACAACAAGTGTTGACGGGGACGTGGAGAACCCAGAACCTTCATACCCTGCTGGTGCCCACGACCATGCCCGGCACCATTTCATTTCTTTTATTGTAGTTCTGTTCTCAAATATATTCTGCGACCTGTATTTCACCATTTTACACAAGGGACTTGAACATTCTCGAATTCTGGTATCTCAGAATTGGTGATGAAACCAATCCCCCATGATACAGAGGGACGACTGTATATACCCTTGATGATGTGATGAAAATGGCACACACCCCCAGCCGGGCGCAGTGGCTCACACCTTTAATCCCAGCACTTTGAGAGGCCAAGGTGGGCGGATCAGCTGAGGTCGGGAGTTTGAGACCAACCTGGCCAAGATGGAGAAGCCCCATCTCTACTAAAAATACAAAATTAGCCAGGCATGGTGGCACATGCCTGTTGTAATCCCAGCTACTCTGGAGGCTGAGGCAGGAGAATCACTTGAACCCAGGAGGCGGAGGTTGCAGTGAGCCAAGATCACTCCATTGCACTCCAGCCTGGGCAACAAGAGCGAAACTCTGCCTCAAAAAAAATAAAAAAAGAAAGAAAGAAAAAGAAAATGGCACACTGGCCAGGCTCAGTGGCTCACCCCTGTAATCCCAGCTCTTTGGGAGGCCCAGATGGGTGGATCATTTGAGGTCAGGAGTTCAAGACCAGCCTGGCCAACATGGCTAAACCCCATCCCTACTAAAAATACAAAAATTAGCCAGGCATGGTGGCACATGCCTGTATTCCCAGCTACTTCTTGCCGGGAGTCTGAGGCAGGAAAATCACTTGAAACTGGGAGGCGGAGGTTATAATGAGCAGAGATGGTGCCTCTGCTGCACTCCAGCCTGGGCAATAGAGCAAATGCTGTCTCAAAAAAAGAAAGAAAGGGGTGGGTGTGGTGGCTCACGCCTGTAATCCCAGCACTTTGGGAGGCCAAGGTGGGCAGATCACAAGGTCAGGAGATCAAGATCATACTGGCTAACATGGTGAAACCCTGTCTCTACTGAAAATACAAAAAAATTAGCTGTGCAGGCCGGGCACGGTGGCTCAAGCCTGTAATCCCAGCACTTTGGGAGGCCGAGGCGGATGAATCACAAGGTCAAGAGATCGAGACCATCCTGGTCAATATGGTGAAACCCCGTCTCTACTAAAAATACAAAAAATTAGCTGGGCATGGTGGCACGTGCCTGTAATCCCAGCTACTCAGGGGGCTGAGGCAGGAGAATTGCCTGAACCCAGGAGGCGGAGGTTGTGGTGAGCCAAGATTGCGCCATTGCACTCCAGCCTGGGTAACAAGAGCAAAACTCCGTCTCAAAAAAAAAAAAAAATTAGCTGTGCATAGTGGCACGTGCCTGTAGTCCCAGCTACTTGGGAGGCTGAGGCAGGAGAATTACTTAAACCTGGGAGGTGGAGGTTGCAGTGAGCCAAGATCGTGCCACTGTACTCCAGCCTGGGTGACAGAGCGAGATTCTGTCTCCAAGAAAAAAAAAAAAGAAAGAAAAAATAAAATGGCACCCATCCCTGTTATCCTCCTCCCCAAAACTCATAACCCCAGTTTAATCAGGAGAAAAACACCAGACAAATCCCAGCCAAGTGAGTGGCAATCTACAAAGTATGAGCAGAACTCCTCAAAAACTATCAAGGTCATCAAAAACAAGGAAAGTCTGAGAAACTTTCACAGCTAGGGGAGCTCAAGGAAGCATAATAACTAAATATAATGTGCTAACTTGACTGGGGCCCTACCAGGGAAAAAGCATTAGGAAAAACTAAAGTTTACCATAAGCAAAAAAAAAAAAAAAAAAAAAAAAAAAGAAGTGAAAGTTGGCCAGGCGCAGTGGCTCACTCCTGTAATCCCAGCACTTTGGAAGTCCAAGACAGGTGGATCACCAGCTCACTAGTTCAAGACCAGCCTGGACAACATGGTGAAACCCCATCTCTACTAAAAATACAAAAGTTAGCTAGGTGTGGTGGCACAAGCCTGTAGTCCCAGCTGCTCAGGAGGCTGAGGCAGGAGAATCGCTTGAACCTGGGAGGCCGAGGTTGCAGTGAGCTGAGGTCGCGTCACTGCACTCCAGCCTGGGTGACAGCAAGACTCCCTCTCAACAAAAAAAAAAAAGGAAGATGGGCTTTTATCTGGGGGTGAGGTGTGACCTCAAACCCAAATAGGGCAGTAAAAATGATTCATGCATCATCAGGTCCAGCCCAAGAGTTGGGAGGATGAGTCAAAACAGGTATCCAGGCTCTTCTCCTTTAATCTCTTCCTTTTTTTTCTTCTGTGAATGTGGGAACTGATCTGGAAGGCCTGGGGTCCTGGGTGGTCCTCCTCTCTTTATACCTCTGTCTCCCTCTGTTCCAGTTTTAGTCCTTGTGAAGGCAAGGTGGTCTTCAGTGACCCAGATCAACACTCTATGGAAACACAGCTTCCCTTTCTCAGTGGCTCCAGCCCAGTTCCCATGAAGTTGTGTCATTGGCCTGACCTAGGTCACACACCCATCCTTGAGCCAGTCGCTGTGGTGAGGGGGATGGAATGCTATGTCATTTTCAGGAAACGGACACTAACTGCCCACCTCCCCCAAGGTATTCGAAAGTAGATTCGTTCTGCCAGGGGCACAGTGGCTCACGCCTGTAATCCTAGTACTTCGGGAGGCTGAAGTGGGTGGATTGCTTGAGCCCAGGAGTTTGAAACTAGCCAGGGCAATATGGTGAAATCCCACCTCTACAAAAAAAATACAAAATTCAGCTGGTCATAATGGCCCATGTCTGTAGTGCCAGATACAGGTGGGAGGCTGAAGTGGGAGGATCACTTGAGCCTGGGAGGTGGAGATTGCAGTGAGCGGAGACTACACCTCTGCACTCCAGCCTGGGTGACAGAGTGAAAAAAAAAAAAAAAAAGATTAATTCTACTTTTATCTGGTTTATATATTGGAGCTTCACCTGGAGAGTGATTCTACTGCTAACTAATATAATTGGAAACCCCTTGGCCCCTCTTGCTCTGACACTCTGGGATATTCTGACAATGTGAACTTGGATGTGTGGCCGTGTGGAACCATCCAGGAAATAGGCAAAACAGAGGAGCAGTGAAGCCCGTGAGCAAGACCTGGTTCAAACCCTGCCTCTGCTATGTGCTTGTTAGGTGACCTTGATGAATCCTTTTCCCTCTCTGACCCTCGGCTTCCTCATCTGGAAACTGGAGGTGATAATACCTTCCTCTCAGTGTGTGGCTGAATGCTGTCTACTCCAGAGCCGCAGGAGGTACTGGAAGCCCAGGTTGCTATTGATGACATTATTGTTCGTTGTATTCGGCTACAGAATGTACCTGGCGGGATGTACCCAGGAATTCTACTTCAAAGTTGCTCTCTGACCTTGCTTTGGGTGGGATGATTTGGGATGGGGACGAGTCTCAGGCGGACATTCTCTCCTTTGAATCTTGGAGTCCTCTGAAGTCCAGGTGGGCTGAGCAGGCTGCTCTGCGCTCCAAGTGCCGCCACGCAGAGGTCAGGCCCCTCGCTGAGCCCGTCCTGAACGTTCGGACACCTGGACCCCTGCGACGTGGGTTCGGGGGCCCAGCTCAGGTGACTTGACTGCGCTGCGTCTGAAACCCTCTGCGCCTGCAATCCGGTAACCTGACACCGCAGGCTCTGACTTCCCAGCCGGCCCGGACTGCGGAGGGGGAAAGGGCGGCTGCCCAGCCACACAGGGACCTCTCCCTGCCCTGGTCTCCTAGGCCCCCGTCCCCTTCCCAAAGTGCCCACCCCCCGGGGCTCATGTGTTTCGGGGCTAACGCGTCCCTTTCCACGCGGGGGCTGGGGCTGTGGGTTGTGTCCTTTCGGGGCCCAAGTCCAGAGTCCTTCAGAAGGAACGGGGAGGCCAGGGGCGTCACCGCGCAAACGGAAAAGCCAAAGTGGGGCGAGGGGGAAGGGCGCGCCTGCGGGAGGGGGACGGGGTCCCTCCGAAGCCCCGCGCCTGGCGCAGGGTACCCAGTCGCCGACCTCGCTGGAGAGCCGCGGAGACCCCGCGCGGGGACGCGGGTGGTGGGGACCAGGCGGCCCGCGTCTCGCAGCCCCCGCTCGGGAAGAAACTTTGGGCCCACGCCCCGCAGCTTCCCGCGCCCTCCGCGCCTTGGGGTCCGCGCCCGCATCAGGCCCCGCAGCCGCCCGGCGCCCACTCACCAGCGCACCAGCTGCCAGCGCTTCTCCCCCGGCGCCCGGTGGCCCGCCATGCCTCGCCCGGACGCTCCCTGCCCTCCGCGGGCCGCAGGGTGGAGGTGGCTCGGATGCTGCAGGCCGGTGCCCGGGGCGCGCTCGCGGGCGCGGGCCGGGGCGGGTGCGGGGCGGCGCGGGCCGGGGCGGGTGCGGGGAGGCGCGCGGCGGGCGCGGGCCGGCGTGGGCCGAGGAGGGCTTTGGACCGTGCGGCGAGGCGCGGGGCGGGCGGGGCGCTCAGACCCCGCCCCTGGAGGCTGCTGGAGCCGAGTCCGCTCTGGCCCCGAAGCGCGAGAGGAACCGCGGCCTCTCCCCGTCCGGGCCTCTCCGCGCCGCGCCGAGGAGCCAGGCTTCTGGGGACCACTGCGCGAGGAGTCGGGCTCCCCAAGTCCTACAGACGCGCTAAGAGAACAGGCGGCCCATTTCCTCGTTCTGTGCCTTACTCCCTTATAAAACCCGTCTACCCACAAAGTGATGCCTAGAACATTAAACTATTCTAGATGCCTCAAATTTGGTGGTTTGATGCGCCCTACAAATCATTTATATATAGATATACAGATAGATACATATGAAAAGAGAGAGACCCAGGCTGGAGTGCAGTGGTGCAATCCCGGCTCACTGCAACCTCCACCTCCCAGGTTCAAGCAATTTTCGTGCCTCAGCCTCCAGGGTAGCTGGGTTTACAGGTGCCCACCACCACGTCTGGCTAATTTTTGTATTTTTAGTAGAGACGGAGTTTTGCCACGTTGGCCAGGCTGATCTTGAACTCCTGACCTCAGGTGATGCACCTGCCTCGGCCTCCCAAAATGCTGGGATTACAGGGGCGAGTCACCGTGCCCGGCCTATTAAAGTATTTTAAAGCGACTAATTTGGCTGTGCACAGTGGCTCACACCTGTAATGCCAGTATTTTGGGAGGCCCAGGAAGGAATATTACTTGAGCCCAGGAGTTTGAGACCAGCCTGGGCAGTATAAACAGACTCCATCTCTAGGAAAAAAAAAAAAAAAAAAAAAAAAAAACTTTTTAAGTCTGTAGAATATTTAAAGTGACCGTAATTAAAACAATATGACATTGGCCTAGCAAAGCTGCCCAGCCGAGCTGAGTTTTACTTCTAAAACTCATATTTAGTTTTAAAACTCACTTATATAGAAACTGTCCACACCTTGCACGGTGGCCTCCCAATTTACCCGCCCCCCCCCCCATATCTGGACGACCCACATCCTTTGCGGAAAGAAAACTTACGCAGAAAGAGGAGGAAACTGAGCTCCCAGGGATGGAGCTCCTGGGAGGTTACCTTCCTCGTGAGGACAGTGGGCCCATGCCCAGGATCATTGGAAAAACTTCCCCCCACCTCCAAACTCCTACTGACATTTGTCATTCCATCCACAGATGTTCAACAAAAGTGAAGATGACATAAATCCCAAGAATCCCCACCTGGGCTTTCCACTATGTCTCAGCCAAAGTAACAGCGAGCCAGTGGCACAAAGAATGTAACAGAACAGAGGCCTCCTGCAGGGGAAGGGGAAAGAGACACAGACCAGGAACAGGCGGGCAGCTCGCCCTTGGCCCCTAAGTAAGTGTCTAGCATGAGGCTAGCCACCCACTATGAGCATCCTCTCTCCTGTCTTCTTCTTCCTTTTTCTTTTCTTTTTTTTTTTTTAAGACAAAATCTTCCTCTGTGGCCCACTGGCACGATGATCTCGGCTCACTGCAACCTCCACCTCCCGGGTTCAAGCAATTCTCCTGCCTCAGCCTCCTGAGTAGCCGGGATTACAGGCGTGTGCCACCACACTCGACTAATTTTTTGTATTTTTAATAGAGACGGGGTTTCACCATGTTGGCCAGGCTAGTCTCAAACTCCTGACCTCAGGTGATTCACCCGCCTTGGACTCCCAAAGTGCTGGGATGACAGGCGTGAGCCTCTGTAATCCTTTGAGCATCCTTTTTTTTTCCTTTTTTTTTTTTTTTTCTTTTGAGAAAGAGTCTCGCTCTGTTGCCCAGGCAGGAGTGCAGTGGCACAATCTCGGCTCACTGCAGCCTCTGCCTCTCAGGTTCAAGCTATTCTCCTGCTTCAGCTTCCCAAGTATCTGGGACTATAGGCACTCACCACGTTGATTTTTGTATTTTTAGTAGAGACAGGGCTTCACCGTATAGGTCAGGCTGGTCTCGAACTCCTGACCTCAGGTGATCTGCTTGTCTCCCAAAGAGCTGGGATTACAGGTGTGAGCCACCATGCCCAGCCCGAGCATCCTTTCTTTAAGCTTCCGAAGCAGAATTAACATGGAGACCAAGGAAACAGAAGAGAATTTCTGGAAACATCCCCAAGGGGGTGGGTGTGTGTGTGCACATGTGGGTGTCGGTGTGTGTACATGTGTGCGCGTATACGTGTGCGTGTGCATTGTAAAACACATGTATTTCAAATTTGTGAGGAAAGGGTGATGGGACAAATAGTTAACCATTTGCTAGGGGCAGGGCGGGAAGCAAGGTCTCTATTTCACATCACAAAATAGAATTCAGATGCATCATAAATGTAAATGTATAACTTGTTAGCTTGCAAACAGGGAAAAAGGAAAAAAAGAAGTATAAATGTCAGTGTACAAACGTAAAGCGCTAGAAAAATACGTAGATAAGTACTGTCAGTATATTAAAGAAGGATAGAATTTTTTTAGCATGACGTCAGTGGCAGAAGCCATAAAGGAAAAGATTAATGGATTTGACTAAAATAAAAATATTTAATATCTGCACATCACAGAAACACAATACGCAAAATTAAGAGGCAAATGTCACCATGTGTGGTGGCTCACGCCTGTAATCCCAGCACTTTGGGAGGCTGAGGCAGGCGGATCACGAGGTCAGGAGATTGAAACCAGCCTGACCAACATGGTGAAACCCTGTCTTTACTAAAAATACAAAAATTAGCTGGGCATGGTGGTGTGTGTCTGTAGTCCCAGCTACTCAGGAGGCCAAGGCAGGAGAATTGCTTGAACCTGGGAGGTGGAGGCTATGGTGAGCCGAGATCGCGCCACTGCACTCCAGCCTGGGTGGCAGAGCAAGACTCTGTCTCACCAAAAAAACAACAAAAAAAAACCATGCAATAGTCACATAGTCAAATTCATAGAGACAGAAAGTAAGGGAGTGGTTGCTAGGGGCTGGGAAGAGGGAGAGAGAATGAAGAGGAATTGCTTAATGTGTACAGAGTTTCCGTTTTGCAAGATGAAGAGCTCTGGAGACAGGCTAATGCTGATGGCTGCACAACAATATGAATTTATTTACTGTTAGTAAACTGTACACTAAAAAAAGTTAAGATAAATTTTATGTGTATTTTACTACCACTAAGAAATAAAAGTATTGAAAGTTTTCTTAAAGTTTTTGTATATAGATATTTTTTGAGATAGGGTCTCCCAGGATGGAGAGCAGTGGTGTGACCATAACTCACTGCAGGCTTCAACTCCTGGGTTCAAGCCACCCTCCTGTCTCAGCCTCCCAAAGTGCGGGGGTTACAGGTATAAATGACCGTACCTGGCCAAAAGTGTTATAATAAAGAATAAGAAATGGGTCGGGCATGGTGGCTCACGCCTGTAATCCTAGCACTTTGGGAAGCCAAGGAAGATGGATCGCCTGAGGTCAGGAGTTGGAGACCAGCCTGTTCAACACAGTGAAACCCCATGTCTACTAAAAATACAAAAATGAGCCTGGCGTGGTGGTGGGCACCTATAATCCCAGCTACTCGGGAGGCTGAGGCACAAGAATCACTGGAACCCAGGGTGTCGGGGACAATCTCACTCGAGCTGAGAGATTGTGCCATTTCACTCCAGCGTGGGCCAAAGAGGGAGACTCCGTCTCCAAGAAAAAAAAAAGACTAAGAAATGATGAAGACTACAATAGAGAAACGGGTAAAGGACATGAACAAACAATTCACGATAGAAATATGAATAGCTAATACACAGAAATTTAAAAAATTTAATCTTGCTGGGCGCAGTGGCTCTCACCTGTAATCTCAGCACTTTGGGAGGCCATGGCAGGAGGACAGCTCGAGCCCAGGAGTTCAAGCCTGGGCAACATAGAAGGAACTCTCTCTCCCCAAAAGGAAAAAAAAAAATTAATCCTACTAAACCTCAAGTATGTTGAAAATTTTAATGTGACACCATTTTTTCAACTTGTCAAATTTGGAAAAGTTTATTGTTATTGTTATTGTTGTTGTTGTTATTGTTTTGAGACAGAGTTTCACTCTTGTTGCCCAGTCTGGAGTGCAGTGGGACGATCTTGGCTCACTGCAACCTCCGCCTCCCAGGTTCAAGCGATTCTCCTACCTCAGCCTCCCGAGTAGCTGGAATTACAGGCAAGTGCCACCACACTCAATTAATTTTGTATTTTTTTTTTTTTAGTAGAGACAGGGTTTCTTCATGTTGGTCAGGCTAGTCTCGAACTCCCAACCTCAGGTGATCCGCCCACCTCAGCCTCCCAAAGACCTGGGATTATAGGCATGAACCATGGCGCCCAGCCTGTTGTTGTTTTTATTTCACACAGAATAAAAAGAGAGAAGGGAAGTTTGTGCTCCCTATTATTGCTGCTGGGTGTACAAATTGGTCCAACCAGTGTACATGGAAATCTGACAGGATGCTCAAAAGCTGAGGAGTGTGCATGTCTTTTGACTCAGTAATATTTACCTCTGTGGAATTCATACTAAGTATATAATTAGAAATGTGAGGCCGGGTGCAGTGGCTCACACCTGTAATCCCAGCACTTTGGGAGGCCGAGGCAGGTGGATCACCTGAGGTCAGGAGTTTGAGACCAGCCTGGCCAACATGGTGAAACCCTGTCTCTACTAAAAATACAAAAATTAGCCTGGCATGGTGGTGCCTGACTATAATCCCAGCTACTTGGGAGGCTGAGGCAGGAGAATTGCTTGAACCCAGGAGGTGGAGGTTGCAGTGAGCCGAGATCATGCCACTGCACTCCAGCCTGGGCAACAGAACAAGA